GATCTAAGGGAGGACCTTAGATTCATTATTCTATTGCATGCAGCCTAACAAGCCAATTCACCCCCTAGTTGTGAGCATAAGGCTAAGGGCCCTTTGAGCCCCTTTTTCAGACTGCATACCACTGCACGCGTCCTCAGCCTAGCCCTTGTGGCAGGCTTTTTATGTGGGATCATTTGTACAGGTCACAAAAGCAGACTTGCCCTTAATTGGGTTAAGTGCTTTGGTGCTTTGTGACATTATAATGAATCTCCATGCACGCCCCCAGCTTCCTGCTGCTGGTGTGATTTTTTGGTCCTAAACATGACCATCTTTAAATAAAACTGTTTAATTTTTAGTCAAGTGAAGAATATCTAGAATTATTCGCTTGTACATTTTCAGCCCAGAGAAACTCAGGTGTGGGGCGCACCTTTTTTGACATCATCCATCATCATCTCTACTGCTGTCAGCCTACCTCAAGACTTGGTAGCAGGCACCTTCGTGTAAGCCGTTCCCTCACCAGGACAGCACTGCAGCAACATTTTGATATTGGAACCTTTGTCCCCCCACTCATATTCATTTCAATATGGGCAATATTTGCGAAAATACCACGAGTTATCGCTCCTTATATGCGAAAATACTATGAGTTATTGCTTACATAAGACTCTCCAGCGTCCGCAATGACATTAAACTATTATCTATCATTTATATATCATTTGTATAGGATTGGTCACCTATAAATATATAAATGAAATATTCTGGATATCTAAAGACATGCTACTCCGAATTGACACAGTGATTGTCCATATATAAGATCTCCAAGAGCACGGCAGTCTTTGACTGTAAACTGCTGGCGGAAATAGATCTTTACTTAGCAGTCCACAATAGATAATTCAATTTTTAGGGAGTTATTTTGGCACACACAATGAGATATTGGGAACCCTTTTACCCAGAAGCGGTCTCAGAATTACTACATATTGCGCAACAATTAGTAATTTATTTGCTATGGGATGCCTAAACCACCTTTTCCCCAAAAGTTATAAGGCTTTTTCTCTCACCCACCCTCCCTTACTTTTGTGCCCCCCAGTCTTGTTTTAACTCGCTCATGCCGCGTCGGTTCCGGGAGGAACCTGGCAAGGGGGAGGTAATGTAGGATACAGCGAGTATGTACGAGCTTATCTGAAGATGTGCGCATAAGAAGTGCAGCACTCAAAGATATATAGTGAGTACCGAGCGCATGTCCTATTCGAAGAGTTGAGAAGGATCCACAAAGCAATTAGGATCACATGTCCGACGACGAGCGTGAGCAAGTCAAGGATGATCCAAGCAGCGTCAAAGGATCACATTTTCAAACCTTCCATTTTTTAACTTTTGTCTACATAGCATGCCAACCTAAAGGGCAATCGAGAGACCATTGTCAACAAGTATGAACAGCGTTGGGGAACACATCTACTTGCATACAACAATGCAAACATGGCAGCTATTTTATATAAAATCCTAAAAAGACATAGGCAACCTTTTAGGTACAAGACACAATCTTTGAAACAGCCCTCTGACCAAGGGCATCCTATCATTTGGCAGCTATGAGCGCCACTAATGACCTGGGCAAGTCATTAAAACTACATCACTATGGCAGCTTTGAGCGCCACCAAATGTATGACATCATCACGGATCACGGATCAACCAAGATCATGATCGATCAGGAAGTCTATCATGACTCGATCGACGGATCAAACATAATCACGATCGATCAAAATATGTCATACCTTCAAACACGTGTCTAGGCGCCCATAGAATCTTATCTTATCGATGTTAAAAAACATATACTGGTCGAGATTCGAACTTAGTACTTCACTGTTCAAGTGGCTTAGGGGTTAAGCCATGATGTTTAAGTCTCTCAGAGATCACCTGACACACTCTCAGGTCTCGCTCGACCTCCAACGAGCACAGGGTCGAATCTCAGTGGAGGCAAACAATATCATGACATAATTTCTGACTCGACAGCCGTAACACAGAAGCATGAGATCTTGACCGAAGACCGAGGATAAGGAGATTGCATCCGCAATCAAAAACTATGTTTTTGCATCTATAACCCTTACTTTTTAAATGCAACAATCAAGTCAAATGCGTCACCACCAACGACCTTAGCATGTCGTTAAACTGTTCACATTTTGACAGCTTTGAGCACCACGAATGACCAAGCGCATGTCTTTAAACTGCAAGCCCTTTTGCACACTATCTTGGGCAACAGCAGCCAATAGCGCTGTCTGTGACATCAGACATCTAGGACCAAGAACTGTTAGCCCCACAAGTGCACCATTTACCTGAGCAAGTCATTAAACTGCATCACCCCTTTTTGCTGCTAGCAAAAGTCTTAGATGCCATTCACACAACACACTCTGCCATTCCACCCTGGAAGTCAGAACCTGAAGCGAGGGTACTATTTACCATAGCATTTAGTCAGTTCATCCGGAGTCTGAACCTTGAAGTGGGGGTAGTGTCACAGTATTAAGTGGCACCTTTCTTTTTGCACCATCAAAGTCCTCATTTGAGTGGTTATTCGGATGTCAACCTTCATATTGGTCTCGCAACGTGGATACTTGGACAAACAGCACAATGCCGCCACATACATCACGGACATGACTGTGTCTACCACATGACCA